AGGCCAATTTTGAAAAGATGTATCTTTGCTCAGAAAATCGTTATTGAATATGTCAGTGCTGTTGTAATGAAACGCTTCTTCTAAGCATTAAATAAATGATTAACTGGGAAAAATAAATAAACAAAAACAAAACAAAACAAAAAGGAGCTGTCTTATGGTAGCAACGTGTCTCTCATCACTTCTTCTTTGTCAAGTCCCCAACAGGACTCCACAGCAAGGTACAGCCTGCAGTTCTGATGCTTTTCCTGTTTTTTCTACACTTGGAGAAACCAGTCTGCTCAAATTCTTGTGTCCTAGTTCTAAGGTGTAACTCCACATGGGTATTTTCTAGAGGGATGCTACCTATGGGTATACTATTAATGTCTTATATTTAAAATTATTTATATCTTTGTGAGTGTGTGTGTACGTGTGTGTGTGTCTTTGTGCACACGTGGGGGACAGAGGTCAACATCAGATGTCTTTCTCAGTTACGATCTACCTTGGTTTGTTGCTGTTTTGTTTTTTTCTTTTTTGAGACAGGGTCTCTCCCTAAACCTAAAACTTTCTGGCTGGCCGAACAAGCTCCAGAGATCCCATTTCTGCCTTCCTAGTTCTGGGACTATTAGAGCGCCATGCCTGGACCTTTTCCATGGGTTCTGGGCTTGAACTTGGGTCCTCAAGCTTGTACTGTAGGCACTTAACTGACTGAGCCATCTCCCAGCTTGGTGTCTTACCTTTCTTTCTGAAATTATTTTTTGATTTCTTTATTTTAGTGTATGAATGTTTTGCTTGCATGTATATTAGTGCACCACATGCGTGCAATGCCTGTAGAAGTCAGAAGAGGGCGTTGGATCCTGTGGAACTGGAGTTAAGGATATTTGTTAGCTACCACATGGATCCTGGGAACTGGGCCTGGGTCTTCTGCAAGAGCATCCAGTGCTCTTGACTGCCAAGCCAGCTCTGCATTTCAGGTGCCTTACATTTTTAATAGCATACCAGGACTGTAAAATTCATCCTCATGTCTAACAAAGGAAGAAGGGGTCTCTAAAATATGATCTGGCTTGTTCAGCTAGCTATGGAAAACCCAAGACTGGGGTCCAGCATCTAGCTAAGGAGAACTTAAGGCTGGGGTCCAGTCTCAATAGGAGTTCCAACGACTATAATACAACATTCTGAGAGGCCTTAGGAGGGTATTCTTTATCATGGTTCTCTAATGAGGGAGCAGTATGGAGAGTGTGGGGTGTTAAGCAGAGATCAAGTCCCATAAAAGGGTCCCTCAGAGAAAGAATTGGCTGCTTATCCTGTACTTATGCCTTCCATACGGCTTCAGTTTTATACACTTACCTTCGCTCCCACATGACCCTATTCTCTCACGCCTTCATTTTCTCATATATTACCTTCGGCTTTAATTCTGGAGACCCCTAAGTGCAGCCTCACAAACCTATTCTTTCTCAGAAGATGAACATTAATTTTACATTTATTCTTGTGATTACAAACTAGGTGAGTTTAGGGCTCTAACATGGACCATAAACAGAAAAGGATAGATTTGTTCTAATTAGAAAATAAACCTTAAATATCAGCACAGTAGACAGTAAGTCAGGGAGCTTGTGCTCCACCTGGGGCTGTGGATGTAGAATTTACTGAAATTAGCAATCAGATCATTCATTAAGTTATGCTGTTTTCTGTTCCTCTTCATTCTAGTTGCACTATCTCAACTTTCCAGCAGATGGCGTCTGCTTCAAAACTCAAAGATCAGTTTGCATTTCAGGAGGAGCAGGACAGGATGCACATTTCCTCTCTTCATAGACTTCTGCACTCAGTCCTTAGAAAGGGCTTCTGGAAACATTAAGGGTAGACAATCCAGTTCCTGTCTGCTAAGAGGGCACTCACTGGTCTGGCCATGCCTGTGGTAGCATTCTGGGCCTCAGTGATCTGAACAGAAAGCAAACCCAGAATGAATCCTGCAGCTTTCTCCAGGAAAACACCCTATTATGTAGCTACTTTGAGTAAGAAATGAGAGCTGAGGATGAGTGGCAGATTCGGGGCGGGAGGTGGGGAGAGGAGGGACGTGGCTAATCCCACATCTTCTCTCCTTTAGGAAAGACAGGCAAAGAAGAAATAACACTTTTTTTTTTTTTTTTTTTTTTTAAGGGAGCCAGCTCCCAGCTCCCTCAAGAAGTAAGGGACACAGGAATACAGGAGCTCTGTGGAGAGATGCCTCCCACAGCCTTTTCCCTCCCCACTTTGTGTAAAGAGACGGATGTGATTGAATGACTTCTAACGTTTAATGACGCCTCTGCTCCACTGCTTTGTAAAGCTCACACATGAACACACTGATCCATTTCCAGATGAGCCAGGGGCCATCCTTTTGTGTCAAGCACAAAGAAAAGGAGAGAGAGGGAGAGACAGAGACAAAGGAACAGCCCATGTAACCAAGCGCGGAACATGATTTAAACAGCCAACTTAGTAAACATCAATCTTAGGATGTGTTGTGTGAAGTGGAATCAACCTCCAAAAGAGAAGCTGGCTACGTTGAAAAGAGCTCCCTCTAAAGAAAACGCCAAGTCGGATTTCCATGCAGTAAGTCATCTTCCTGCAAAAGGTTGACAAGACAAAAGCCACAAAGTGAAAAGGTAAAAATGGCTTATCTGGAAAAAAAAAAGAGCAGCATTATAACCTTTTCGTTTAAGGGTCTGGTGCTGTGTATTATGTCAGGGATCAATGTGGTTTTGAGAAGATGCAGAGCGGCTGTGTGACTTGCTGTGTGACTTCCATGAATCACTTTACTTTTTAAAAAACTCTTTTCTTATTTTTATTTTATGTGTATGAGTGTATTGCCTGCAGGTGTGTAAGTGCACCTGTGTCATGTGCCATGGCTGCAGAAGTCAGAAGAGGGCATTGGACCTCCTGGAACTGGAGTAATAAACGGTTGTCAGCTGCCATGTGGGTGCTGGGAATTGAGCCCAGGTCCTCTGCAAAAGCAGCCAGTGCTCTTAATCATGGAGCCACCTGTCCAGCCTTATCTATAAATCACTTTACATCTCTGGACCTCAGTTTCCATCCTGGTCACCTAGGGGATATGAGCAAGGGGTTTCTGGTTTGTTTCTACATATATTCCTTGGGACAGGGCATCTCTGTAAACCTCTTCACACTCACTTATGAGTGTGAGTTGTGGGGGAAGAGGGCAGTGGGAGTTTGGAGAAGTGAGGTCTTCCGCTAGTTTGCCAAAATGTAACTGTTAGGAAGGTATTCAACATAAAAGCATCTTTGGTTCATTTGAGCTGTATTTCCTCTCTCAGCTTTACAGCTGTCTTCTGGGAATGAAACAGAAGCTTTGGTGTGGAAGCCAAAGTCTTAGGAATGAGTCTGTTTTGTCCTAGATTTCTGCGTGGAAATGAGTTGCATTTTGACCATTTCCTTTTGCACGTGCAGCGTTACTGGTGCCCACGGATCTTTTTAAGATTGGGATTTTGAACTGCCTGATGTCTTCTACCTCAGTTTCAGTTAATACTCACAATGGATTCTTCAGAAATGCAGAGCTAGAATATTTGAAGCAGCTGAATGCTGATTCCCGTGAACACTGAGTGTGTACAGTACCCACAGAATGCATCTTTGACATCTTGGCTTCTAGAAAAGCACGGTTCCTTTGTTCATTCACAAGTCTACTCCATTTCCACCTCAGATTTAATTATCCTCCCAGCTCTCATTTGCCTATGTGTGGGATACCATTCACAACACGCCAAGTCCTACATGTGGGAGGCACAAATATTTCCATTCCAAAAAAAAAAGAGAAGATTGTGGACAAGCCATTTTGACTGCTGGATATGCTTTTAGACAAAACCAGTGGCTGTTATGTCCCCCAAATACCAGTGCTCTTGAAATGAAATATTCTGTTTGGTGTATTGATCTACGTCCTAAAAATTTCATTATGCACTACATAGAGATGCTGACTTACTTTCTTATAGAACTGTCGTCTGTTGGAATCGGGAAGGACACAAAAGCACATAGATTCACATCTTCAGCTTATGCATGAGAAGAACCAGCCTAGAGATGCGGGGCCGGCAGAAGTCACCCATGTGGCAGCACAATAGTCAAACTAGAACTGCTTTTTCTTTACTTTTATAGTTTGCCCACCTGAGTCAGGTACATGTCATGACCAACCTGGCCCGCAGTCTCTCTCTACTGCTCTTAATTCTTTCTGTTTCTCCATCTCTCAATTTGTAAAATATATATTTTTGAGACAGGGTCTAATGTAGCCCAGGCTACCTTCAAATTCCCTATGTAGCTGCAGATGACCTTGAACTTTGGATCCTCCTGCCTCTACTTCCCAAGTGCTAGGATTACAGGTATGAGCTATGTATGTAGTGCTGGACTTTGTTCATGCTAGGCAAGCACTCTTCCAACTGACATATAAGCCTCACATTTATGAATTCATTTTCCCCTTTGAAGCAAACTCCTGGAGTGACTTCCTGCCCAAGTCAGGCCTGCAACCTCTTGCATGTCTCTCCCATGTCCTGCAGATTCCTCCTGAATGCAACTTAAGTCCAAATGACCTTGTTATCCATGCATCTGTCTGTGTATGCATTTTTCTGTCCCCTCGCTCATCCACCCAAATATCTATCCCGGTCTCCACCTAAAGCCAATGACCTCAGAGTCCTAAGCCCTCATCTCAATGTGGGAAATGAAACTAAATACCCTTATTATAGACATTGCTCCTGACTAATCTTTTTTTGAATGCTGTTTCATTGTGTATTTTTTAACCATTGAGCCATCTCCCCTCCCTGTATGTGTGTTTTTAAATTTTATGTTTATGAGTGTTTTGCATGCATGTAAATGCACTATGTGCATGTAATACCCACAGAGGCCAGAAAAGGGTGTTGCATCCCCTGGAACAGAAGTTATAGGCAACTGTTAGTCACCATGTGGGTACTGGGAACCAACCCCAGGGCCTCCGCAAGGGCAGCCAGTTCTCTTAACTGCTGAGCCATCTCTCAGCCCCTGAATAATCTTTTTTTTTTTATTGAAATATGGAAAGCTTTATGAATTTGCATGTCATGCTTACACAGGGGCCATGCTAATCCTCTCTGTGTTGTTCCAATTTTTAGGGAATGTGCTGCTGGTGGGAGCCCCATATCGTCTTTTACAATGTGCTTTTGAAGGGTTTCCCATGGTTAATGAATGCACCACTTTCTTTGTCCTCTGCATGCAGCGACACTGACATTTCACAGCTTTAACATTGGCAGGTGCTGGTCCCCTGCAAGTAAACCACAGACCACAGAGACCAAAACCTTTGAGCCAAAGTCTCCTTAAAGTGTGTTTTACACTGAATACATCAAACGTAAGTTTATCACTGTTTTACTTTTAATATGTCCCAGAGTGATCCTTTAAGAACCACTGTTACCACACTGGACAGTTCTTCATCTGGCTGGGCAGCTAAATCTTCCTCTATAAGTTTTCCTTCCTTCCCGCAACCTTTCCTAGCCTCTTTTCTCATTTTGCAGGCTGAGAAATCATATCAGGAAATTAATTAAAAAGTATCTTCAATGTGTGTGTCGGAGTAAGTATATTTTCATAGAAGATTCTATGTACAGTTTCCAGGGTTTTAGTGGGTAGATCTGGGCACCAAAATTCCAGACTATTTTCTTCTCGTTACTTCCAAACTTAGAGGATACACAATTAAGGATGTGATGCCTCTGAGCAAGCTGGCCTGGGTGGCTGCCAGCTTCACATAAGAGCCTTCTACCCTAACCCCACAGCAGACAGCAAGGACAAGAACAGTGGTGTTGAAGCAACTTTCACCAAGAGCTATAGCCTCTGGGAAGTCTCTCATTTAAGGGGAACCCAGTTCTGTCCATGACTGTTGGTCAGAATTTGTCCACTGGTCTGTGGAGTTACAGTCCGGTTATCCTGGTACCACCCACTGACAATGCCTTGATACCCTGCACAGAACAGCATTCCACACATTCTTCACAACAACTCTGAGAACCAGATATAGGAGCTCATGTAAGAGAGGACCCGAGGCACAGCAAGTTTATGTTGGTAAATAGAGAACCAGGACTTTCAGTTTGACTTTGTCCATACTTCACAAGCTTATTATTTCCTCTAAATGGACATTCTCTCTTAGAGTGAAGAGAGACTCTTAAGTCTCAGGAAGCTAACCAGAAACTTCTAAGGCTCAGGAAGACCAAGAAACATCTATTCAGGATGCTTGGAAAGTCACAAGATTCACAAGTCCCTTCCTTCCCCAAGGCTATAGCCAACAGTTACTGAGATGTCTCAGTGGAGCTGCCTGCAAGCTGAGCAGGAAGGGATGCAGGTTTTGTGTGCTGACACCCACGCTGGGGTGGGCTCACAGGTGCCTGAGTCATCTACATTTCTGTAAGTTACACTAGTAGAAGGGAGCTCTATCTGAAGAGATGTTTGTTCTTGTCCCTCCCGCCCCCAGAAGTCATGCAGCATGTCAAAGATGCTAACTTCGCAAAAGCAGAAGTAAAATGGATGGTTGGTGTATCTTACTCACCCTAACCCGACCATTGTCCTAGGTTTATAGATGGATGGTTGATGTATCTTACTCACCCTAAACCTGATCCTTGTCCTAGGTTTATAGATGGATGGTTGGTGTATCTTACTCACCCTAAACCTGATCATTGTCCTAGGTTTATAAATGGATGGTTGATGTATCTTACTCACCCTAAACATGATCCTTGTCCTAGGTTTATAGAGCCAACATGGCATTTTCAGAGGTGAGTAGAGAAAAAACAAGGCTAAGAAAAAGATCTGGACTTCAGCTCATTCTCTGCCCATCTGCAGACGTGGTTCAGATTTTTCTAAAGCTCTTTTTCCATATTTGCTGTGTAGTTTACGACGGATGGTAATGCCAGAGAAAGGAAGAGGGGCCTGTGCTATGAACGAAGCATAGAATAAGGAAGGCTTCCCTGTTTCACGTATTTTAAAAATGTTTATCAGGAGATGGTAGAGAGATAGACATATCTCTGGACACCGAGGTTTAAAGGTGAGCCAGGATCTGGCTCTCAGTTGGCAGGAGCTAGCTCTCAGTAGGATTAGTAGAAACTGCAAATTGTTCGCATATGCTATAGTAGGAATGGATGTTAGGGCAGAAAGGGAATGTAAGGGTTAAAACAGTAAAGTCAGGGGCACCGAGGATGAGGGATGCAGACACCTGAGCTGGGTTGAGGACCTGAGGAGAGACACACAGGTCAGTAACAGCTGTCAGGCATGCTTCCTTGAGAAGCTCCTTCTGGGAAACATGCTGGGCACCATGGCTGGCTCCATCTTCTTGTCTTTAATTCATTGCTTCCAACACAGCTAATTATACTAGATGAAGTTGCAAGTAAAGGTGACTCTTATGGAGCTTGCCCCTTTTCAAGGAAGAACCCAAGACCAGCTATAGACTAAGAACTAATCAAGAATACAACTACTTCTTGGGAATTGTGAGAGTTCAGAGAGTTTAATACAATTAACAGCACTTGGGACACATGCGAGGCCAGAGGTAGCAACACCAGACAGTAACTAAGAGCTAGCAGACAGGGTCAACAGCTAACAAAGACAGACAAAGGGGGCTTCAACTACCCCTAACCGAGCGAGTGGCACATGAAAGAGCTACCTGGTTGGGCCAGAGGGACATGTGTAGAGCATGTGGGCTCCCTATTGGCTTAGCCCATGATAGTCCAGAGAAATACCCAGTCTCAATGGAGATAGCGTCAGCCTTTGTCGTGTTTCCTCCACTTCCTTATAAAACCCCTAAACAAAGGAAGTTTGAAGGCTTTTTCTTCTCTTGGAAATCTCTCCCATTCACAGTCTCTCTCACTTTTCCACAGTTCCACACTTTCTTCAGACTCTCACTTTTCCATAATCTTATAAAGTCTGCTTTCACTGCTTACTCTCACGAGGGTCCCTGTTTTTAATTTTCACTGATGTGAAACGACAAACTTGGAGCCGTTGTCCAAGATTTATCTTCAGTGACCACAGGTGTCCAACACTGTGGGTCCTTGAGTCACGCACCACTGGGCTGTGAAATGTCCCTTGTTCTCAAAAACACAGTGTTAATAGAAAGAAGCTCTTTGACTTGGGCATCAGAGGGATAGGCCTATGGGAAAGACAGGACTGTCAAGAAGCAACCAGACCAGTGTATCAAGTACTAAAACAGAAATGTGCTCAAGGGTGCAAGAGAAGCCTGATGTTCAACTCTGCTGAGGGAGAGGGTGATGAATGACCTTGAGTCAAGCCAGGAGGGTAGGGAACGTACTTCTCACACACGACATTCAGAGGCATGAAGGAATGAAGCTTCCTGCGGCATTCGGCAGGCTGATGAGATGACGGCCAGGCAAGAACGCTCTGTGCTGAAGTCTAAAATAGCTTTATAAATGATTCCATCACAATGACACTTTTATATACTCAATAGCCAAGTAAAGGTATGACTAATTTCCTGGCATGGTTCTAACTAGAAAAAACACACAGTTAAAAATTTTGGGAAACTTAATAAACCTTACAGGACAATGAACCAGTGATGCTTCTTTAGTTTTTCTTTTCTGTGTGTGTGTGTGTGTGTGTGTGTGTGTGTATCTGTGTGTGTGTCTCTTCTGTGTGAGTGAAATGTCCACAGAGGCCAGCAGAGGGAGCTGCAGTTACAGGTGGTTGTGAGCTACCTGAGGAGTGCTAGGAATTGAACTCGGGTCCTCTGGTGGAGCAGGAAGCACTCTTAACCACGGAGCCAGCTTTCCAGGCTCCAGTGCTGCTTCTTACGTACTAGCTAGGGTTCAAAAGACTTGAACCCTCCCTCATGTTCTTTAACATGGCTGCCTCTATTTATAAATATTTGTCCCTGAATTTCTATGAGTGGGTCTGAGCTTTTTAGAGCATATGTCCTTATTTTGAAAGAAAATAGCATCATTTAATTATTGTTCAGGACAAAATCACACATATAACCATTTCATGACATAAGATGACCTAAGTACAAACAATGCTTGCACAAAGTCCCCTAACCTGAAGGAAAATACATAATGAAAGCAATGTGGGGGAGTTAGAGTGAAAATGACTTGAATTGACCTTCCTTCATGAAGGGAGGCGCTGTAACTCATTCGAGCAGAAGCTCTCTGTCTGAAAACGAGTGCCATGTTCAGTGCTGGAGTTCCCGTGGAGAAGAGCAGAGTTCTTTGGTAATAAAACCACCTACAGTCATGGCTAAGTTTTACTTCGTTGGACGGTAATTGTGGCTGGAATCTAAAAGAGCTGGTTCTTTCACAACTGTGTATAGCAGTTCCCACACAATGCAGCTGTTTCTTGAAGAACATAATTTGCTTAAAAAAACCACCTTGATTTATTGGGTATGTGTTGATGTGCATGTGTGTGTGTATGTGTGTGTTGCATGGGTCTGTGTGTATTGTATGGGTGTGTGTGTGTTGTATGGGTGTGTGTGAGTGTGTGTGTTGTATGTGTGTGTGTTGTGTGTGTATTGTATTGTGTGTTGTCTGTGTGTGTGTTGTATGAGTGTGTGTGTTACATGGGTGTGTGTTGTATGGGTATGAGTGTGTATGTTGTATGGGTGTGTGTGTGTGCTGCATGGGTGTGAGTGTGTGTGTTGTATGGGTATAAGTGTATGTATTGTATGTGTGTGTATTGTATGGGTGTGTGTGTGTGTTGTCTGGGTGTGTGTGTGTTGTGTGTGTGTTGTATGGGTGTGTGTGTTGCATGGGTGTGTGTTCCATGGGTGTGTGTGTGTTGTATGGGTATGAGTGTCTATGTTGTATAGGTGTGTGTGTGCGTGTTGTATGTGTGTGTGTTGCATGTGTGTGTGTGTTGTATGGGTGTGTGTGAGTGTGTGTGTTGCATGGGTGTATGTGTGTTGTATGGGTGTGTGTTATATGTCAGTGTGTGTGTCGTATGGGTATGTATGTTGTATGTGTGTATGTTGTATGTGTGTGTGTTGTATGGGTGTGTGTTGTATGGGTGTGTGTTGTATGGGTGTATGTGTGTGTTTTGTGTGTTGTATGTATGTGTATGTGTGTGTTGTATGGGTGTGTGTTATATGTCAGTGTGTATGTCGTATGGGTATGTATGTTGTATGTGTGTATGTTGTATGTGTGTGTGTTGTATGGGTGTGTGTTGTATG